TCCCTTTGTTCTTGTCCGTATTTCCGTTTTATTTACATGTTTTAGATTAGGTTGCATTAAATTACTATTGATTTGGAGAATTTAATTTCAATTGCTTTAATCAATAAATTGATTATAGTTTAATCAATTTAACTTAAGTTAATTTGAATGTGTTTTTTCTCTTTTTCCAATTAGTTTCGTAATGATAATAATTTTGTTAATTGATTTTAGTTATATATGTATAATTTATATTGAAGTTGCAATGGCTTCAATATACTTTACTCGTTGTAGACTACTGAATGGCAATTATTTAATTATTATTATTTTCAAATATTTATCCTCACTTAACAAATGTTTAAACACAGCAGATTATTACAATCTGCATTATATTCTTTAAATTTGACTTCTTTGCTATTTTGATATTTAAAATATTATTGTTCAGGAAATTCTATAATTAGGGTTGGCCACCCTTAAACAAATTCGTCTTTCTTTCAGTTTTTTGGAAAGTTTCTCATATTTCCAAAATCTGAAAATTGTATGTTAGTGTGAGTTGTTTTGGTTTGAATGCAAGCGAACTCGCAATAGTTTGTGTGTGTTTGAATGTATTAGCAAAAGTGTTTCGATTTGTGTTTGATTTTGAATGATCTGAATGAACGTTGGTTGCTGTTATGATTGTGCTGAGTATTTGATAGGTTTAAAAAAATGTTAAATCTTCTTTAACATTTTCAATTTGTTAGGTGCTTGATTAGAATTCTTGAACTATAATAGATTATTTTCAATTATTAATTAAACATTTGTTATTTCCTACATATCTCCCCTTATACATTTTGTTATTACTAAACACATTCAAATTTATTTTTAATTATTTATTATTTTGTTAATATTGGAAATTATCATTTTATTTCAAAATTTTAACAATGTGATTAATTTCTACTTATTAACTTTTAATTATAAATCTTCTCCAATTTCTATGGTGATTTCGTGTCGCCTCGCGATTAATAAGCATGATTTTCCATTTGTCATCGGTTGTATTATATTTATGTAATGTCTGTGGGAATCTAACATATTCCCACGTGTTTCTCTTTCAGCAGATAAAGTTCACCTCTGGACTGTTGCGCTTGATCTGTAATCTTTTTGCTGTGAAGGTTCAGGTCTTGCTGCTGGGTCGGGCACTCCGGAGGTGGACCAAACTATAGAATTTCACAGCAAAAACCATAGACAAATTATATAATTAGGTGGCAATTGATTGTCCTAAATCTCGAATTAGGCAGTTATGATAATATAATTGCTAGAGAACTAATGAATATAGTAAAGTGCTATTTACTATAGAAGATAGTTCTCTTTTTCGTTAGGTTAGGCCTATATTCCTCTTTAGTTTTAAGTTAACACCTCAATCACTCTTACTAACTCTTAATAACCTATCCGAGGACTCTCCATCCTTTCCTAGAACCGCCGAGTCTCCGGTTCGCATTTACCCTTATCCTTTCCCTATATCCCTATACCCCTTACCACGAGGAATTTAATGGGTCGTAATTTATATTTTTAATTTGTAAAGCTTTCGGCGATTACTCAAAGCCTATAGAGTAGTCACAATGCTGGACAGCTAAAAGCGCTTGATTATATTGTAATGCATTGCATATTACACATTCATAATATAGAAAAAATAATATAAAAAGTAATAAGAAAACCGTATTATATAAAAATATTATGTAAAAACAAATAGGTACATAAAAAGAATTAAAAATTAAAAAAAAAAGTAAAAGATGAGAAAAAATGGAAGTCCCATTTATTCCTCTCCTGTTAAATATTATAATGATGTTCAATGTGCAATGCAATTTTATTTTTATTGTAATTATAAATGTGTATCGAATTTTTTAATACGATCTTATAGATTATGTAAACGTATATTTCGTTCATGTTTTGTGTCGGGTGTGTGTCATTTCTTTGTGTTCTGTTTCAGGTACCTAGATCATAGCATTTCTTTCTTTCCTAAATTTCCCTATTTTCTTTTTAATTCCTCCCGGGTGTGCGGTCACGAGTTTGTTCTCATTTGCTGTGAATGAGAGCAGTGGCTTCCAGTTGGCCGCATGTTCAGGTCCCAAAGGTATATCATCTTCTCGCGAAGATGATAACCAGGTATCAATTCAAGCGCAAAACATAGCCTCTGAATTGATGCAAGACCGTTTCGCAAATAACCTTCACGAGGTTGCACCTGTTTCATACAGAATATGCTACGGATCTCGTTTTGATCCACTAGCTTTACCATGGTTTATCTATGGGATTAAAATTAAATGTAATTTATTTTTTTAATAACATTGATTTTAACTGCTATATTTCTATAGAATTTTATATAATAATGTAGTGTACTCGCCTAGACTTGTAAGGTTGACTGTATCACCCAATTAAAAGTTGTAAGTACACACTTGTCATGCACCTTTATTTTCAATCATTCACGACATCATTGTTAAATAAATCATACAAAAGCTCAGTCTGTTTCTTTTGTATCGATTGTTCCATTTAAAGCAAGAAATATTAATATTTTTGACCTGTCTCAGTAGGTTACATGTTTGACTCAGAGAAAAAATAAAATATTTGGAGTAGTAAATATTAATTAAACAAGAATTGTATGCATATTTGAGAAAAAGTCATAAATCCAATGAATAGTAATTATTTTTCTACATAATTGAATTATACTCAGATAGTAATGTCCATTATTTCTGAGTATAATTCAATTATTTGGAATTATTATATAAAAATTATTACTACCACAAAACCCTCTTTAAAGATTACTCGGAAAATATATTAAATAATGTATCAGTTCTAATTTGTGGAATGTATCGATTGACAATGCTTAAAGCGCGTTAAGTAGAAAAAGCAATAACGTTCACGTAATAAAATATGTATGCATGTTTTCACCTTCACCCATGAATAAATAGAAAACGTGACAATTTCGTTTTCAAAATATGTACACAGGCGTATATCGATTGTACGTGTATAAATATTGATGCAAAAGAAGAAAAAATAATTTAAAAAAAAAGAAATAAACTTGGTGATTGCACTTAACTTTATTTGAATCCTTTATTTTACATAAATTATAATTGCATAATGCCGTTTCTGGTTATTTACAGTGTTGAGGAAATTGGACCAAATTTCCGTTTCAGTGATAGGAATGCAAATCCTGGCCGTACGATGAAAAGTCGTGACTGTATGATGGAGCTTCTGCGATCTTGTAAACTTGAGGTTGAGGAGCAATAATACTTTTGTAAACGGGCTGAGGGGCGACGATGGTCTAGAAATAAAAAAATAAATAATTATTTCAGACTAACAACAAATACAATTATATAATAAACAGTAATATTAGAAATTACCACAAAGTTGTTACTATCAAAAGTTTTATAAATAATATATGTAATTATTGATTTCTTTGCTACAGTCCGTCATGCTTTGTATATAGTTTGTTTGTTAAATAAATGTATATTGACAAAATATATACAAAAATAATTTAGTTTATGCAAGAAATTGATTACATAAAAAGCAATGTTATTCTTACGAAATACAACGGTAATGAAACAAAATGACCCAGCACCTCCACCAAATATATCATCAATAAAAATAATCATTTACTTAATAAATATTCAATTGCAGATTGTTAATTTGATGAAAAAAAAAATTCGTGGTAACTAGAATAATAAATAATATCAATTTGATATTTGAAATTTGGCGTATGTCAATTCGTGAAAACTAATATCAAAATCAATTTAATAATAAAATAATAAAAATTGGGAATGGTTTTAGATAAATTTTTGCAAATTTAATGCCAAGATTTTAAAGGTTATTAATAAAACTTCCTAAAATATACTTAGTGTTACGAGTCTTCACTTCAAGTATATCCATGCATAAGCTGTATAATACACATGAACAATAATTAGATTGTATAAAGACTTGAGTCAATAACTTATTCGAGAAACGCGAGACCCTCGTGTAAACAAATTACATATTCCACTAAATGTTTACTTAGGATTTCTTTAAAGCAATCGATTTTTTTCTTGTGTTTGAATTATAGAATATTTTACCTTGACAACAGTCGGGGGGGCATGAGCAACGTTGTAGGAAGTGACAGAGGCGTAACTCGTTGCTGGAGCGTAAGCCTTAACCACAGGGGCGGCCTTGATTATTGTTGGGGCAGCATAGACCGGAGCTGTTTTCTCGTAGACCGGAGCCGAGAATGTCTTGTAAATGGGCGAGGAATAGACAGGTTCAGGAGCTGCATATACGGGCGCCGCTTTCAGGATCGGAGCTGAGTACACCGGAGCCGCCTCTTTGATGTAAGTCTGTGTAAATACTGGTGCAGACTTCAGGATCGGTGCTGAGAATAACTGGGCGTCATCGAAGGAGTAACCACCTCCATGTAGGTCAGGGTATCCAGGAGCTGAGTACACTGCGGCTACAGCCAAACTCAAGAATACCTAAAAAGTAAAAACATGTTATTCCATTTAACAATTGTGTAATTCAGTGATTCCCAAAGTAGTCTATATCGAACCACAGGGGTCTATGACAACCTGCAAGGGGTCTACGTCTGCGAAAAAACAATTTGGGGGTCTCAGAGCAAAGATCTTAATAATTAATAGATGTCCCAATATAAATAACAAATTTACAAAAAATCAATATCAGGTAAATAGGGTGTCTACCCAAAACCGAAAAACAGGGCAAGGGGTCTACGACACACAAAAGTTTGGGAACCTCTGGTGTAATTCACAGAACAATTAAAATATCAATATTTAATGAAGTAAGCTATTTACACCTTAATTAGGAGAAACTACTTTGAAATTGTTGATACTACATATGTACAACTATTTACACCTTCAAGAGCTCACTAGTTGATATTGAAATCAATAATTTTATTATGTAGACAGGCGTGTTTAAAATAAACATAAACTAATTGAAATCGAAGGTTATAGATATTACCAACTAATGATAGTACCACCATTAACCAAATTTTATTGTAATTCTTTAATAATTTACATGTTAGATATAAAAAATATTTTTATAAAATGCTATTATAAACAAAACAATCAAAATTTTATTAAAAAAAATTAATAAAATTAAAATCTTTTATAATCATAAACTAGTACGACAATTTAAGATAATTAAATTGTTAATAATATTTTCAATAATATTCCTATTTTGTATAAACTTGAGTTAACTAGAAAATTGTAAATATATAATAAAAATAATCAAATATTTAAAACTTACCAGTTTGAACATTGTATAAATATGTAAAAGAATACTGTGTTTGATATGAGTAAAGAGAAGTCACTGAAGTAAATTAAAATCATCAACCCTTTATATAGAAGCAATACATGTGGTTGGAGAAAAATAAAGTAGGGACCGGGCTGTTACCTAACTAGAATGCAACGACAGTGGTAGGATCATGCTATGCTATGTTCCTTGGAATTGTTTCGGAACGCACGTTCGTTTATACACATTCAAAAAAAAACTGACGCAATTTTAACCCAGATATAATCAAATAAACCTCTGATTTACACAGTCGCCTCACCACCTATTCTCAAAGACAAATTCCTGGTGGTTATTTTTATTTTCAGTTACGTAAACCCGAATCACCCTCCCAAACATCTGTATCGTACGTGCAAAAAGATATCGCCGCACTAATGCAATTCCAATTTTGATCTCGTTCCAACGCAACGCAAAACTCGCAATATTTCTGTGGGAAGCAAAACCATTAACATTAATTTAGATCCAAAAACTTAAGTATTTCAAAACTAACTACACCAATTCCAAACATAATTTATAATATCTGCAATGCACTTATTTGAGCAGAAATTAATATCAGAAACATACACTATTAATTATACAATCTTGTATTTACATATAGCATATTTAATTAGAGATTATGGAAATATTGTAAATTTATGTTACTACTAATTGACAATTACCAGTCAATAAAGATTACTAGTATAAACATTAATGATTTTAGATTGCTTTATTCGATTACATAAAGTATGATATAAACATATAATAATAATAATAATTTATCGAGCATTCTTAATTACAAAATTAAATTATTCTTCCTATTAGTGTGTTAGAGAATGAGATCTAGATCATCGGAACGACTTGAACGCGAATTGCATTTCTTAAACAAGTTATCTAATATCGCCATAAATGCGCAAGTAGTGCACCGATGTATGTAATATGTCTAAAGGACAATTATTTATAAAGCAGCTCCATTTGTTAGGTTCGAACCATTTCCTTCGCGAAAAATAAACTCGGCGTCGGCTACACTTGCCAGCGTCTAGTTTAGGAAAGCCGCTGTGTAATTTGTTTAAAAATGTGTTGCATAAAAATACCGATTCCAGTTAATCAATACAATCGAAGCTATTACTTTAAACGTTCATTCACTTTTAAATGAGTTTCAAGTGATTAATTAAATTATACGAATTGCTCTGTGTTCTATAAAAAGAGATTCTATTTTCTCTTACAGTTTAATTATAAATCAATCCAAACCAATACAGTGTATAATAATATTCTTATCTATCAGAAAAATAGACAAAATAATTATAATAATTTATGGTAATATTAAAAATAATTACATAATATAATTGCTTTTAAATGTTCAATTTATTTAGTATTTTTTGTTTATACAATTTCTATTTATTCTCCTTTGCTGATTGATTTTTCATCAAATTCACTGATCTTCAATTTATCTTTTAACCTCTGCAACTGAATCTTATTGCCATTCTTTTCAGCTTCCTCTCTACTTTTAGATAGATCATGGGCAGCTAGAAAAGATCTTTCGTTCATTCTTTCCCTATCAAGGGTAATGGAATTCCTAAAATATGGCACAACTTACAATAATAAAAACCAGGATTGAAAAATTGACTCACCTAATTGCTATAATTTGCAAACCAAAACCAGTCAATGTTAGGATTACACACAAAATGACTATAGCAGCATTAGAAACTTTCTGAACTCCTTGAATCCCATAATATGGTTGACTCTCATAAAACCTATCATAGCTTCTGTTCCTGTTTCTCCAAAGACTTGGGTCATGAAAGGGGCTACAATATGTATCAATTAATTAAATAAATATGATCATTCCCCTTCAAAACATACCTTCTTTTTGATCTATATCTATATTTGGTATTGTGATGAACATTGTCATTTGTTGCTAAACCCAAATCATAATTGCTTCTTGATTGTGTCTTACTTAATGTATTGTAAGCCTCAGAGATTTCAGAGAATTTTTGGTTATCCAATATATTCTTAGTTTTATCTGGATGATACTAAATGAACTATTAATAGAAAATAACAATTGGCAAGAACTGCTAACCTGCTTAGATAATTTGATGTAGGCATCTCGAATATCTTTCTGTGAACAGTCTCTTCTTAGATTTAATGTTTCATAATGATTTTTGTGAATATTTCTAGTAAATATAAGTTTTTGGTTTGAATAATTATTCCAGATGTGTTTGCTTCACGTACCGTCTTATTAACTGTAACCTATTGCCCAAATCATTTCTAAATTTTGCAAAAATGCTGCTATATATCATAATTTCATTGGAGCGAATTTTGATGGAGCCCCCTTTTTTGACAAGACGATGACTTACCAATTTTCTGCAACTTCCTATACAATACTACTATGGAGGTTGACTATCCAATTAGGAATTCGTTTAAAATTGCACTAAATTCAACATCTTTAATTTAAAATGAATACATTACAAACACATACACTGATTTAATCAATTTAAATATTATTAAATACATCTAAATAAGTAACAACCTTCAAAATTATTTATTTTCAGAACGCCAAGTCAGATTGCCTGGTTTCAATGAATGTACAAAATTACATTCAAGCTGATTTTTGCAAAACAATCCATATTTGCATAGACGTGGGTGATAAAAAGCGCAATGCGTGTTGCTACAGTTCGGAAAGAACTTACAGGTCTGCGTCGAAGGTTTGGGTACAACAATAGGTGCCGGTAGAATCTTGCTAGTAGTATTCTTCGAATGGCTGTAAGGGCAGTCTCTACGTGTACAGCTGGCTTCAAATTTACACGGCGGATGCACGTACAGACATTTTTCGGCAAACTTACAATTCGGAAATGCTTTGCATCCGCTCACAGGATGAACGTATTCACAGAGCTCTGCCAATTTACAGGCAGGCCAATACTTGCATCGTTCTTTACATTTACTTGCTTTTTCTGCAGTTTCGGGAATATCCTTTTTATTGAATACTATAGGTGACGGAGTTCGCTTCGTTGGGGTAGTAATTGGAAAATGTGTTTTATCCACTCCGTCCAAAGTAACTATAAACTTCTGGCTGACTATAGTTTCCGATGACTGAGATGGTTCAGCATGAAGTGTAGCACCCTCGTTGATGCTCGTCAACATGTTTTTCAATTTCAGTTTTTCATTTTCGGAAACTTTAGCTTTGGTATTGTCTTTATACTTTCTTGTGAACAGTGGCGTTACATTATCTTCTACAGGAGTTTCAATAATTTTCTTCGAAATCGGTTGCTTTTGACTAATGCTTTTCTGAGCCTCAGCTACAGCTTTTAACAATAAACTAGGATTTGCTTGCCTCAAATTAAAAGGTCTAGATTTCAATTTCACTGCATTGGAAACGTCCTTTGTTATTTCTTCAATGCTAGTAGCATCATCAGTTTTAACCGTTTTTGTAGGAACAGTAATTGTGGACTTAACTCCTAACCTGCTCATAATGTTCTAAAAATATACATTTTAATAAATATAATAACAACAGAAATTCAATTATATTACCTCACGCACTTTATCCTGTTTAACAGTACTTCCATTCTTCTTTCCTAATCTATCTAAAATAGATTTCTTCTGTGAGGCTTCCTTATGTTTACTCAATATAGCATTATATTTTGCATGTAAAGAATCCCTTTCCTTATCAAACGTGATTCTTGAATGAATAGAACGTGGCTTCTCTACTTCTTTCTCAATTATAATTTTCCTAGGAACTTCTTTCAGCTTGGATTCATCTATATCTAATTCTATAAATAGACACATAATGTTATTGATAGAAAATTGTCAATGTTTAATCAACTAACCAGATTTAAGAGCTTTCTTAAAATTAATTTCTTCATCACTCTCAACTTGCAATCCAAGTCTGCTTTTAACATTCCTAATTTTCTTTTCAATCAACTCGAGTTCAATTTGATTGGTAGATGTAATTTCACTCAATAAAGGAATATCAAATTTGTCATCCTCGATTGGTTCAGACTTCTTTTCTTGCATCACAATAATTTTTCTAGCTTCTGATAATTTATTAGCTGTTATAGGTAAATCATCAGTCAATGACTTAACTTCTGATTTCTGTTTTTCCTTTTTAACTTTCTTTGCTTCTTCCTCATCCTCTTCGTTGACTGTTATTTCATTGGACTTTCTCTTTATTGGCTTTTTGAAGACATCTGGATTAGTTACATGTACTTCTTTCAATTTCTTTAGAACTATATGTAACCAATCAACAAATGTTACAGTCTTCGCGTCTAAAAATAACTGCAAATCCTCTTTCATTTGGGATTTAGTCCGTTTATTGGCAATCATAACCATAATATAGTCAGGCAGCTCATCATCTAAAATACAATATAAGATAAACAATAAAGACTTGAATAACATTTATGTTTACTCACCAACATAACAATTTAGTTCTGTCAACTTCGCTTTAATAGCAGACTAAACAAAATAGAGAAAAACATATTTATAATTCAATCGTAGGTTCAATTACACTTAACCTAGAATAATCCTTTAAAACGCCTATACCATTATATTTTCTTACCCTCATTTTCTGGCCCACTTCTATACCAACATCAGTCATATTGATACATAAATATTTCACTTTTCTGCAGTTAATATTATACCAAATTATTTTTTATTGCAAGTATAAATAATTATTGACATTTAGCTTACGTTTATGGGCAATTTGATTTTATACAACCAAACATACACCATTGATTTTTACTTGAAATTAATATTGATACAATTATATCAATGAAACTTATAACTTTGTATACACATTATATGTATATATATTATATAAATTTTAAATTGTAATTAGATAAAAATTATAATTTAAATATAAAAGAAATGCAACTACATCTATACTTTAGTATAGAAAAGTTCAAAATTGAAGTATTTATGTGATCTACTTACATATTTTGAGAAAAAAATCAAAGGTATACATACATTTATTTATATTTTTACTTTTTATATTACAATATACAATTTTACAAATTACGAAGGAACTGATTATATCACATTAGTAATTTTGTTTAAAAAAACATTAAACTTCTGTAAGAATCCTTCATATTTTATAAACCTAAATGTATATATTTAAACTTTATTGTATAACTAGTTATTAAAAAAATCAATAAAATTTGTATATAGTTTTATGACGCTGAATGAAATTGTTCGAAATAAATGTTTAATATATTTTTGAGATATAATTCACGTATGAGTTATAGAAATAATTAATTCCAAATAGTAACTTGCCTTTATAAATTAAATACAATAATAATTTATTGCTCATACATACACAAAGAGTTATATCGTAGTATTTCTGTTCTTCAATTTAAATACAATGAACTTTTAAAATATATTTGTTTCAACTTTGCTATTAGATTGTATTTATTCAGGAATTTCTTAATTAAAAAAGAAACTTTAAGGAAAATAAATAAATTAAATTTCATTGGGAATAGTTTATTTTACAAATATCTAGAATACATTATTATCACACAGCTGACAGCATAATTACATAATTTGTTTTGTCAAGTTAAAATTGGTATCTTAAAACAGATACTATTCCATTAAATTTCAATTCAAATTTGATAATACAGTAGGAATAGCCTCAGACATGAATATTATTTACATACATACACCATATATCAATTCTTTTTTTTATATCGCATACATTTAGCAAAGTACTTAAAAGATCCATTTACAAGTTGCTGTTTGGCACGATTCGCTGTATGTAGACAGCCACTTCGGTGTGAGGGTGTTCTGGCTCGAAGACCACTTGACCATCGACCTTGTGATCAGCATATTTCAGGGTGTAGACGCACTCGAAACCAAGACGAGCGATCGCTCTGGCGCTGAAGTTGCTCGTGCAATCGACTCTCATAATTCCGTAGCCTTGTTCTCGAGCCATGTCTCTGCAAAAAGGAAAGAAAAACAAGTATTTATTAATTTCATTGTCAAGTTCAACAATAAAGAGAAGGAACTTGAATATGCAAGAAAAAAACGATAAAGTTTCGAAAAACCTGTAGGAAGTTGCAAAACATATTGTTTACCAAGCATATTTATGCTGATTCATTCCAAATTAATTCAAGAATATTAAAATCAATTCAATTTGCTAAATATTCGACAAACAATAATCATTTTTATCTTAATGAGCAGAATCAATTTCAATTATTTGCACAAACTGTTATTAATTTTGTATTCTTGTTCATATTACTCATTAACGCGTTGTGATGAAGAGAACAAATTTAAGGCGATGCTACGTAGTTGCAAAATCCTAGCCGATTAGAATCCTTACGAACACGAAAAGCTGGATTACAGTATTGTCTCATTAAATTTAATAGTAATGAATAAAAAAGTAAATTATATACGCATGTGTCTACAAGTACAAGTTTTGTATCCTTGCTCAATTGATAAATTGTAAATTTGATTTGCGTTGCATTTGCACTTCTTACATAATATTTACGCAATAAAATAAATCGTATAATTTTGCGTGCCATGCGAATATTGTTACGGTAGGGAATGCGAAGGGAGGAGAAGAAGCTTTCATTGGTAAAGGTCAAAGTGGGTCAAGGATCGAATCAATCTTTCACTTCCCCCGCCCTCTGGGCTCGTGGAAAATAAGGGAGGCTCGTCTTCCTTTTCGCTTTTAGCCGTACAATAAATAAACGAGCGAGAATGAAATCCTCGAATTCACTCTCGCATCACGAATCCAAAATCATTCTATTTATCTTGAATATGTGCGCTTAATAGCACTCAAGAAAAAGAGAGCAGAAGCGGGGAAGAATGCTTTATTTTTTTATTTAATCGTAATGGAAATTGCGTAATATTTTGGTTACCTTGTCCGATCCATGAGTTGCTTGGCAATGCCTCTTCCTCTCCAAGTTGTATCGACTGATAAGATTTTAACATTCATCACGCTATTCACGTCTGGAAATTTACCGAAAATATCGGCTTGTTTGTCCACGGTTTCTAAAAGGTTCAGGATTTTGGCGAACTTTTCATTCGGACAGTCCTCTTCGTCCTCTTCCACATCGTTCCTACGCATAGCTCCATTCAAGCACACTCCGACAACCTTTCCAGATTCGGATACGGCCATCAGAGAAAGACCATCTTTGATGGATTTAACCGAGAATTCCTCCAATTCCAAGCATGTGGCGTCGTCTCCTTCCAACAGTTTCACATTAACATTCAGCGGTTCGTCGCGGAAGAAGAATTTGCGTAGAAAACCAATGACTTTTTCCACGTCCGGCTTCGTTATTATTTGAATATCGTATGGTTCCACTGGTGGTGAACTCAGTGGGGTCGTCGGGGTGGAAGGCGTAGACATGCTGTCAGAAGACTGCAAGAAAAAAGTACATACAATAAAAATCCTATTTGGATTCAAAATGTCATATAATTTTTCCATTGGCATTGAATTAAATTATTCGAATAAAAAAAAGTGATTGTCTTTGTTTTAATCATATGCACATGACAAATTACTGTAATTATTATGTTTTTTAATGAGCCTCTATGAGAAATATAAACTGTAATAAAAGTGCCTGTTGTATCAAAGTATGTCTAATATATCGTTTCCTTTTTTCTTAGTAATTTTACACTAATTATTAAATTATAATTGCAAATAATTTTTGTAAATTGATTACATGAAACAAACAAAAAATAAATCTGTCTGCGTGTATAATTATGACATTTTTTTTAGACTTTGACCAAGCGCTGCAAACAAAAACATAAGCAACACAAACAATAATTTGTTTATTAGGAAATGAGCTATTATGCTCCGAGCGAATGGCCGTAATCCTTACAAATGATGACATAAGATGCGGAACTGAATTAGCATGTTTCCTCAAAACGCACATAAAAGCGAATCTTCCAAGATCAATGCTATAAATTAAACAAATCATTATGTTTTTTTGTGTTTAATTATTAAACGAAAGACCATAAAAGATGTATTTAAAATAAATATATATATACACAAGTTGGCCTTGATGCACGAAGTATATGTAAATATGTTTTGGTAGCTTAAAAAAATAAATTATACTCTGCACATTTTAAATTGAAATGCTGCTTTTGTAGAGATTTGTAGGAAACCAAAAATTACCTGTTAAATTAAAATAATTGACACAATAATTTAGTGTTTAATGAATGTGATTAACATTGACATCTAATTTAATTGCTCTCCTCTAATTGTTGCATCAGTTTCATATACAAGAGTAGTAAAAACTTGGAAAATATTTGTTACAAGATAGTTTAGGTTTCAAGAAAAGCTATAATTTTTAGTACATGATTTAAATATTTACATATATTTGATGTACTTTGTTAATTGTTGAACATGACTTTCTTATATAAATATAATGTGTATTTAAAATTAATAAATCTGTGTTACAAGATAATTTAGATTGTAATTAATGTAATAATCTGTCTCATTATGAATATATTTACATATCTTTTAAGTTATCCACTGCATATAAAATACGTAATTTATCCTGAATCACATTTAAATTCTTACAAAAGAAAACGAACAATAAGTAGCAGTTTCTATGAGCTGATCTATAAATTGATCCAATTAGCCGAATGTTCGCCTTTCTGGCATGCGGTCAAGAATAAACTATAAATAAAATTATTTGCGCGTATTTACAAACATTCGCGTGGAAATGTAATATACAGATAGTATTTGATAATACCATCACAATGTAACTATGATTTATGCATGTAATATTTTGATTTAAAAAAAAATAGAAAATTAATTACCACGCTTGGGAAAAATCGTAGCTTTTCGAATTTTCCAGGAAGTGTGAAAAACGCAGATTGCATTTCGACGGCCATCTTGATTTATTGATAATAAAGTTATGCGTTTCCGGGTTGGATTGGTATCTCCGTTGTTGTGCACGTTGTATTGCGGATGTATATCGGATTATCGTGATTTCGCGTAGTTGTGGGTGGATTCGCGCCGCCTGTACGACTGGCTGCTGCCATAAATTCAAGCCATTTTATATACCCCCCTGACGTTGGTGGAGAGAAAAACAGTTTCGAGCCGAACGGTAGCGGACGAATACAGTGTTTCTGCAACTACTTCTTAATGGTCTAGTTCATGGACAAGAGATTGGCTCAAATTGGTAGCAGAAAAAAAAATCACAACGTTCGATTAACCGCACCTGAATCTTATTATTGTTATATATGAAAGGTGTTTTTATTTTTATACAATACTTCTTATTCAATTCCTCATGCAAACTATATACTTATTGATTTTAATATACTTTTTGTACGAACCACTATAACGTACAGTCAATTAAAAAGTTTAGACAAATTCTTATTTACAAGATTATTTTATTTAATTCCCTCCAGTTAATCAGATGATTTATATTAAGTATAAAGTTATAATGTTAAATCAATATTAACTAATTAAATAAAAAATATAAATACATAAATATTTCTAATAATGTAACAAAAGTTACTACTTTTTATAGATAAATCAAAACTTATTGTTTTTGATTTTTTTATCTTGTGCATTCTTCTAGAAAAAGAACAAAATATAGTTAAGCTTTAGTTTATTTAAGTATTCTATAAAATAACTTACATCCAAGAAGTATAAATTGCAATTTTCCTGTCGTAATTATTTGTATTATTTTCATTACCAAAATATAATTGAAAACCAAACTTTTCTTATTAAAAATTTTATGAATCCAAAAATAAATGTCTGTAACATATGTATTTAATCTGTTATGATTCTGATAGAAACTTTTCGAAACTGTTTTAATCATTTTTTTTTATTATATAATATTGTTTTACTTTTATTTAAGTTAAAAAGTAAAACAATATTGCACCAAAAAAATCTGGTTTATATTGAATTGATCAAGGAATTTCGAACTATTCAATTTCTAAATTCAATAACAAGAAAATAAATTTAAGGGTTTTTAATTTTTAAATATGTTCAATCTCATAAATAACCTTGAATTCGTGTGTATACGGTACATACACAAATTTAAATTTGGAATATTTTATTGACTTTACATAGTTTTCCGAACGCAAGCTAATATTTGGACTCAGTACTCGTTTTTTTTTTACACCGTGTTTCGATCATTAATAATTACCAAATCTTTCTACGCATATACATGATGTATTATTATTGATGAATAATGTATGTAAATTGTATTTATTATTCTTCCTATAAAGAAATAGAAGTATATTTTATTTATTTAATGAATTGTTTTAATCAGTCGAAAAAAACTTTACATAAATTGATTTCAGGAACCGAAATATGAAAATTTTGAAGATTTTGTTGGTGACCTTAACATTTCTGAGTTGCATTATTTAGAGGCTATTTGGAGGTATGGATATAAATTGCTTCTTTATAGTAGTAAACAAACATGATTTTTACAGGGTTACAACAATCATTGTATTGCGTATCCAAATTTTTGTTTTTCTCAAGATGTATCTGAATGCGTCAATTTATTAAATCTTGCTTCACCTTATTATGGCCGAGTTTGGAAATACCAAAACTTTTTTAACGGTTAAATTTTATTTGAAAGGATAGAATACAAGACCACTTTTTTATTGTGAAGCGTAACGCATTCGATTTAGTAGTCGATTTTTTAATAATTTAGATCAAAGAATATTAAGAAGTAAATTATTTTAATTTTCAAACTTACTTAATTAAAGATTTCCAGTTTTCAATAGTCCTTTGATTGAAAAATTAAAAAAAAAAACAATAAATTTTGTAATCATTATTAAATCTGCAAATTGGAAATTTGTTTTTATATGCAACATGATAATGATGCAAGTATACACTAAAACACTAAACTCAATACAGTATTAAAATAAGGTTTAAGCGAAGTTTGCTTATGTTCGTAATTTACTACAAGCGACGTTTTTCTTTGTATTAAATATAATAAATAATGAAAAAAATATTAGGTATTATCAATACAAAAATAAAACTAAAATGTATTTTCAATATGACCTTCAGACATAATTGAACAATGACAAAAAAAAACATATAAAAACCGGTAATAAAATGTAGGTTTGCTTTTTATTTCACATGAAATGGTTTCTGAATAAGAAAATTATTATTTTTTTAATAATTTAATGTTTTTCTCTTCCATAATCATTTCTATTATTAGATTTCTTAATACCATATCGCAACGATAAATTGTTGTATTGTAAGTAAAATTATCATTCCAGATAATAAAAAAATGTTGTTGAGATTGGAACTATGAACTTTGAAAATAAAACAACGAATAGCTTTTAATTTTCAAGGAAGAATAACAATGTCTCTATTGACGAACTTATGTTAACTTTACATCTTCATTATTCAATGGATTGTTTATCGTGCATACTTAAATATTTTAATTGCGTATTGTGTAATGTCAATTACATTTCTTTGCACGTTAGATGAACGTACGAACTGGGGGAATTGCAAAGTAAGTAAATGACTAAAGAAAAGTATCTAAATGGGTGAATCAATGGGAGCAGCAGTTTGCAACGTTAAAATGGGCTATAATTTCGGGATCAATGATATGCAGAAGGTTGGATTCGGCGCTGCAAGGTTTTCATGCAATAAAATGCATACGGTTTGTAAACCGAAAATCACCTGCATACATCTATGAACGCTTAATTACACACGTAGTAGTACCATTATTTGCTTATTGACTCTGATCGTTGATTTCACGCTTGTCTATATAATTATGCGCACATGGCTTTTCGCCTTTAACGTTAATTTGCTGCAGATTGATTAATTATGTGCGTAACACTGTGGATTTCCATATATTAATTTATTTACACATTTATTTGTATATGATTATAATAATTACGTTTTTAGTTGCGTTTTTATATTATTTGTAATAAATAATCCTTAACAAGCTTCGCTTATGCATTACAATTTCTGCAAGAAAACATTGATTTAATCCAAGTCGACGTAAAAAAGAAACTAATATAAAGAGACTTTTTGTTTACAAATTAAATTCTACAACAATCTAATACACAATATCGATACCAGTAACTTTATATAATTATTTTGCAAATACGTTACATTTTGATATATTAAGGATTTTTATAAAATTGCAAGTAATGTTTTGTTGTTGCTGTAATTCAAATTCAGTAGTTCAGAAATAGTACATAGCTTCTATTTGCATAATCTATGTTTCAGTTTAAGTTATAACACATGTGTTTACTTTCTGTGGAGCGAATGTAACGCAATAATAATAAAATAAACATATCTATTAAAACATCATGTCTCTATTTACATAAGTCTTCTCTATCGTTTTAAAGGTGTTAAGAAAATGAGATTTTTGTAGAGCCTTAAAGAAAATGAATTTTGACAAAATTAAACATTAAAATAATAAATATTTA